GATGCTATGGTCACTACCACCACTCCTGGGGATCAGCGTGTGTCGATCTGCACGTGCACACGGAAAGGCCGTCACCTGGCCACGTTCACTCGTCAGCCAGGGTCTAGTTTGTACACACTCGCTACCGAGCCTTCTCAGGTAGCTGCGTCTGCTCAGGTGTCCGCGTCAGGTCAGGTAGCCGCCTCTTGCTCGTGTCGCCTCCTGTCGCACCAGACTCTTCTGTGGCACCACCGCCTGGGTCACCCCTCCCTGCCCAACTTCGTGGCATGCACTCTCGTCTTCTTGTCTCTGGTCTTCCCAGGTCCCTGCCTCCCCTAACTCCCTCGCCTGCCCCGCCCTGTCTCCCTTGTGCCGAGGGGCGGCAGCGCGCCGCTCCTCACTCCTCCTCGTTTCCCCCGACGACTGCTCCCCTGCAGACTCTTCACATGGACGTGTGGGGCCCTGCCCGCGTCAGTGGACAGAGCCGCGAGCGCTACATTCTGCTGGTCGTTGATGACTACACGCGGTACACCACAGTCTTCCCCTTGCGCAGCAAGGGTCAGGTTGTTGATGTCTTGATCCCTTGGATCCGCACGGTCCGTCTCCAGCTCCGCGAGCGTTTCGGCCAGGACCTTCCTGTCCTGTGTCTACACTCTGACAGAGGTGGTGAGTTCTCCTCCACCCTCTTGCGGGAATTTTGTCGTGGGGAGGGCATTCTCCAGTCGTTCACGCTTCCGGACTCCCCTCAGCAAAATGGGATTGCTGAGCGCCGCATTGGCTTAGTCATGGAGGTCGCTCGTACCTCCATGATCCATGCGGCTGCTCCCCATTTTCTGTGGTCGTTTGCGGTCCGGTACGCTGCGCATCAGCTCAACCTCTGGCCCCGTGTCTCCTTGCCGGAGACCTCGCCCACACTGCGTTGGACAGGGGAGGTTGGCGATGCGTCGGTGTTCCGGGTCTGGGGATCTCGTGCCTTTGTTCGCGATACGTCCGCGGACAAGCTCTCCCCCCGTGCTATCCCCAGCGTCTTCCTTGGCTTTGTCCCCGACGCGCCAGGCTGGCAGTTTTACCACCCCACCTCGCGCCGTGTCTTCCCTTCTCAGGACGTCACTTTTGACGAGTCGGTTCCCTTCTACCGTCTCTTCCCCTACCGCTCTGCCCCTCCCCCACCCCTGCCGCTCTTCCTTGCTCCCGGTCCCCCTCCGGTAGACCCCCTAGCGCCCCAGGGTCCTTCCCCCTCAGGTGTGTCTCAGGTAGACCCTCTCCCTGGTCTTGCGCCTGTTCAGGTCGCTGTCGGCTAAGGTACTGCTCGAGGTGCTGCGTCTAGAGGTGCTGCGACTGGGGGTTCGGAGCCTGGGGGTGCGGAGTCTGAGGGTGCTGAGACTGGGGGTGCTGAGCCTGGGGGTCTTGAGACTGGGGGTGCTGAGCCTGGGGGTGCTGAGCCTGGGGGTGTTGAGCCTGGGGGTGCTGAGCCTGGGGGTGCTGAGCCTGAGGGTGTTGAGCCTGGGGGTGCTGCGTCGGAGGGTGCGGAGTCTGGAGGTGCTGAGCCTCAGGATGCTGCTTCGTCTGGAGGTTCTGCTGGTGCTTCGCCGAGCCTGTCTCCACAGCAGCTGCGTGAGTGGCTTGTTCGGCGCGCACGCCTTCGGAGTGGAGCTACCGGAGCTGGAGGTGCTGGAGCTGCTGGAGCTGGTGTTCCTGGAGGTACTGCGGCCACTGGTCCTGGAGGTGCTCGTACCCGGGGTACTGGAGCTGCCGGGACTGGTGGTGTTGAGGGTGCTGGAGCTGAAGACGCTACGGAGTCTGGAGCTGCTGGTACTGGCGGCTCTGGCGCTGGTGGCGCTAGAGCTGGAGGAGCTGGAGTTGGAGGCCCTGGTGTTGGAGGTGCTGGAGCTCGAGGAGCTGGTGCTGTTGCCCCTGGTGGCGCTCTACGGCCTCGACCGTACTTCGTTCCCCTGCTTCAGCAGGTTCTTGGTACCCCGTCTCCTACTGGCCTTCCTCCTCCCCTCCTGTGTCCCCCGCCTGACCAGTCGCGGCCGCCGTTACTGCCGGCCTCCCCACTGCCTGCTCCTTCTCCTTATGCTGAGCAGTCAGGCGGTCTTACAGAGCGTCGTGAGCCTGCGTCTCGTCCTATCTCACCTGTTCGCCCTGCTCGTCGTGTTCCTCGTTCGTGTCCTCCTCCTGTCCCCGGCACGCACGCTATGACCCTTCGTCCTTCCTCTGTTCCCCTGCGTGTTCCTCTGCCTGCTCCTCCTGAGTCCTCTCTTCTTGAGGTCCCTGACCCTAAGTCTGACCGCGCTCGTGCTGCCAGTCCCACTGTCTCTCGTCTCCTCGCCACTGCTGTCACTGACCCTTCGTTTGAGTCTGCTGCTGCGTCTGCTCTCGTTGCTAAGCTGCTTGACTTTGCTGCTGCCTGCCGTCTAGACTACACCACTGCTCTCGTTGCTAAGCTGCCAGTCCTCTGTCCGTCGGGGGTGATTGTGCTCTTGGCACGGACGTCCTTGAGAACAGGCAGGAGGACTTTGAGTGTCTTGCAGCAGCTGTACCTCGTTTCGCATCCATGCTGCTTGCCCCTGAGGGAGACCCGGATGCTCCAGACATCCCGACCCCGCGCTCTTACGCAGAGGCGATTACGGGTCCTTACTCCTCTCAGTGGCAGGCAGCCATGGATGCCGAGATGGCATCCTGGAAGTCCACAGGCACCTACGTCGATGAGGTTCCCCCACCTGGGGCGAACATAGTCGATGGCATGTGGATCTTCAGGGTGAAGCGGCCGCCGGGCTCTCCGCCTGTCTTCAAGGCGCGTTACGTGGCTCGAGGCTTCAGTCAGCGACAGGAAGTTGACTACTTCCAGACCTTCTCCCCCACCCCAAAGATGACTACTCTTCGGGTGTTACTGCACGTTGCTGCTCAGCGTGACTACGAGTTGCACTCTCTGGACTTCAGCACAGCTTTCCTGCAGGGCAGCCTGCACGAGGAGATCTGGCTGCGCCGCCCACCTGGCTTCACTGAGTCTTTTCCTGCAGATCACCCGGGACAGAGCACGGCGCACCATTACCCTGACTCAGTCACACATGGTGCACCAGGTCCTTCAGTGCTTCGGCTTCCAGTTCTCCTTGCCGTAGCCCACTCCTCTGTCTACCGGCCACTCGCTCTCAGCTCCACCTTCGGACGAATCCGTAGAGCCGAGTGGTCCGTACCCAGAGCTTGTGGGTTGCCTCATGTACCTGATGACTTGCACACGACCTGACCTCACGTACCCTTTCAGCCTTCTGGCTCGCCAAGTGGCTCCCGGTAGGCACCGAAAGGTGCACTGGGATGCTGCAAAGAGGGTACTGTGCTACTTGTGCAGTACGTCAGGCATGGGGCTCGTGCTTGGAGGACGGGATCCAGTTGTCCTCACCGGTCACGCAGACGCTTCCTGGGTTGACGACTCAGCTACACAGCGGTTGTCACAGGGTTACACCTTCAGCCTTGGTTCCGGCTCTGTTTCCTGGCGGTCTACCCGCTCGTCTTCGGTTCTCAGCTCCAGTTGTGAGGCTGAGATCTACGCCGGGGCCATGGCTGCACAGGAGCTACGGTGGCTCACCTACCTGCTGACTGACTTGGGAGAGCAGCCTCGTTCGCCTCCAGTTCTGTACGTAGACAACAAGGCCATGATTGCCTTGTGTCAGGAGCACAGACTGGAGCACAGAACGAAGCACATCGCTCTGCGATACTTCCTTGCTCGAGAGTTGCAGCAGCGTTGCCAGCTTCGTCTTGCATATGTGGCCATTAGGGCCAACACTGCTGATATATTCAGCAAGGCACTTCCGCCTGGTGACCATCAGCGCTTCTCTACTGTGTTAGGCCTTGTGCCTACTTTGCCTCACTTGGTTCCTACGTGACTTTGCTTGTACTGTGATCTATATATATACATGCATGCTTGTACTTGCTAGGGTATGATCACTGTATTGTTTGTTCTCTTATTTATAACTCTGTATGTGAACTGGCCTTGTGGCCCCTTGCTTGTGCTCGAACTATGTGGTGACTTTGTGATCCACCCTGAGCTTGCTTTGCTTTTCTTGACTGGTCTTGTGACCACTTGTTCTCCCCCACTTTGTCTATGGGGGTGTGTCAAACTTATATATAGCTTACATTTGTGTAGGCTATAGTGGGGTGGCCCATAAGGGGTACAACCCAATTAGGGTTAGTACTTGTACCCAACTCTTTGCTAGTTCATTCATTCTTGTTCATTATTCTGACGCTGCTGACTTTCTGGCAGAGTCCCTGGCAACTTTTGGTTCGTGCTTTTCTAGCTCTCCAAAGCGAATCCTTTCCCCCTTATTTGCGTATTCCTGTGCTTCCTTGCCCGTGTTTTGCGAATGTGCCTCTGTCTCTGCCTATGCCAGTCTCTGTTTTTCAGTTGGTGACCATGCGGGCCGGTGCTAGTAAAAGGCGGCCATTTGGAGGCGGGAATAGCAAGAAGCAAAGAGAGGGATGACAAGTTCCACGATGGTAAGTGAGGGCTATGAAACGCAAAAAGAGGGAATTCGCATCAATCAACGCCATCAATCACTCGACCCAGCTTCCGTCTTCCTGGCTCTCCCCTCTCGCTCTCCTCACATCACACCCCCCGCCTCTCACTCTCCTCTCTCCTCCAATTCTCCCTTAACACCCCTCTCCCATCCCATGTTCGCTCCTTATTGTCTTTGGTCCTATTAGTGCAACCCCAATGGATCCTTCAGTCGACTTACCGATCATGTCCTAAGCTAACCTACTTTCCTGAACACTCCCCTTGTCTCCCCTCTCCTTCCTCCTTGCCCTTCTCTCCTTGGCTCTCCTCTTTGTCCTCTCCTGCCCCTTCATGCCCCCAACTCTACTCCTGCTCGAACTTGTTCGTTTTTTTTCTTTCTTTCTTTCTTGGTGCAGTTCTCCCTCCCTCCCTTCTTCCCCCCCTCCGCTCTCTGTCCTCCCCTGCCCCGTTATGCACCCACCACCACCCTACCGCCCTTCCGTCCCCTTTGTCGCAGGATCGGCCTTCCATGAGCTGTCGTTGCCGCGCCTCGCCACGGCCAACACGCACGGCACTGGGCGCAGCATGGCAGCGAGTGTGGCTGCTGGGTGGTGCAGGGGCGAGGGGTGAAGCAGGCAGTGGTGGTGAGTGCAGGGAGCAAGTGGTGCAGCGGTGATTGTGGTGTGTGCATGTGGTGGTGGTGAGTGCATGTGGTGGTGGTGAGTGCATGTGATGGTGGTGGGTGCATGTGGTGGTGGTGGGTGCATGTGGTGGTGGTGGGTGTATGTGGTGGTGGTGATGAGTGCATGTCGGGAGGGATGTGGAGGGGGCCAAGTTTCACAACTTCTGATTGTTTGGATCAACCCAGCATCTCTCACCCTCCTCCCCCAAAATCATCCTTCTCCCACCTTTCCCTCCCTCTCTTCCACGCAGCCACCCCCCCTCCTCCCACATCCTCCCATTTTTCCATTCCCTTCTCGCAGCCCTCTACCCTCCTCCCCTTTTTTTTGCTTTTCTTTGATCGTTGCAACTTTGTACCAGTATCTCTCAACCACTACCCAGCCACCCACACACCCACACCCCCCCCACCCCCACCCCCACCCACCCCCCCCCCCCCCCGCCGCCCTCTTCCCATCACTTCCGCTCTTTCCCCTGCTCTCCACCATCGTCCCCTCCGCTCCCCCCTTTTTTCCCCTCTCCCCCATTTTCGCCCCTCCCTCCCCCTTTTCCCTCGTTTCTCCCCCTCGCCCCCCCTTCCCTGCCCCGCCCCACGTTTACCCCCTCTTTCCCCCTTCTCCCTCTCTTTCCCCCTTTCTCCCCCGTTCCCCTTTCCCCCAATATGTCCCCTCCTTCCCCTCTCTTTCCCCCCCCACTTCCCCCCTCTATCCTCTTCCCCCCTCCCCCCCTTTCTCCCCCTCCCTCCACCCGGGACGTCAAGGCGTGCCTTTTGCACATCCTCGCTAAGAGCCTCCCCATTACCATGGGCAGTAGCTTGCAGGGCCCTCTCAACCACCTGCGCCTCATCTGCCGCCTGGGCCAGCCCAACGCAAGGGAGAAGGACATTGAAACCGATGACTTTGTTCAGGTGGGTATTGATCTCTGAGTACTAAGGGCATTAGGGACAGTGGGGGTTGTAGGAGAATACGAGACAATTGGGGCACGGGGAGCAATCGGGGAAGTAGAAGGGGCATTAACTAGGGCCACCAGGGGCACAGGGGCCGGTAGGAACACTGGGGACAGTGGGGGCACGGGTGCATTAGTGGCACTGAGATCAGAAATACTAATTCCTTCTTCTCAGCAATCTTATGCTACAACAGCTATGCCATGCTGTGCCATGTGTCATGAGTCATTTGCTGTGTTGTTTCATGTGCTGTGCTGTGCCATTTGCCATATTTTGTACGCTGTGCAGGCCGGGTGAAAGTGGCCCTGGCAGTGGATGCACACAACATTCACACAGGGCAATCTGAAATGCACCACCTAATCCATGCTTGCCCTCTTATGGCCTTCCCCTTGCCCTTCTCCCTTTCCCCTCCACCCCCCTTACCCTCGTACTCTTGTCCTCACCCTCTTGCCCTTCTCTCCTTGCCCTCCCCCCTTTGATCTCTTGTCCCCTTCCCCTCCCTCTCCTTTCCTTGCCCCCCCACTGTCCCACCTCCCCCCCCCCCCCCCCCCCCCCGCTCCCCTCCCCACAGCAAGCAGCAGAGGCAGTGGCAGTGGTGAGGGCGCACGGCATCCCGTTGGTGATAAACAACCGGGTGGACGTGGCCCTGGTAGTGGATGCAGACGGCATTCACGTGGGGCAATCTGACATGGATGCTGCTACTGTCAGACAACTCCTTGGCCCAACGAGAATCATCGGTGTCTCGTGTAAGAGCCGCGAGCACGCGGAGAAGGCATGGCGGGATGGGGCAGATAATATTGGGTTGGGGGGGGGGGTGTTTTCGACACAAACCAAGGAGAACAACAAAACGATTGGTATGGAGGGACCTGCAGACGTGTGTATTGTGTCGAAGCTCCCAGTTGTGGCTATAGGGGGGATAAAAGGAGGGAATATTTTGGATGTGGTTAAAGTAGTGGCTGCCGCTGCGGCAAGTGGCTCGGATGGGGCAGCACCTGCAAGTGAATCTTCAGGTCAATCTAGAGTCACGTGGGGGGGGGGGGGGGGGGGGGGGAGTGCGTGTGGAGCATTGGGAGGGGTGGCTGTTGTGTCTGCTATTTTTGACCAGGCAGATATTTTGGCAGCAACACATGGGCTGGTTAAAGCCTTGGATGCTGCAGAGGGAGGCACGCCGTTGTGTAAACATGTTTCATAGTGTACAAGGATGGAATAAAACACGATACGGTAGTACAGTAGTGGTTGCGTAAAATGGCCAGGTTAAACTTTCTGTAGTGTATTTTGGTATGAGAGCTATCGTATTTACCCGGGTACTGGACCCCTCAAAACTACAGATCCCCGGCAGGGCTCTGGTTATCAGACCAAATCGGTCTGATGGTCTGAAAATCAGACCTGTTTTCTTCGTTTCATCTGACTTCCTAGACCAGCGATTTAATCTCATCTGAACCATAAGACGGAGGTTTATATTTCGTCTTAAAAAATAAGGCTGACAGTTATATTTCGTCTAACATTTTTGACAACGCGTACAAGTTCACCTGAAACCGGCAAAGTATCGAAGTACCCCCATCTCCCCCCCCCCCACCCCCGCCCCCCCACCTCAATGCCCCCTCAAGTCCCTCACCCCTCCCCCAACAGCCTACCCCGCAGCACCTCATTCGTCTACACCAGTCCAGTCCCCCCGCAGTCCCTCGCTCCTACAGTCCAGCCCCTGCGCAATCTCTCGCTTCTTCAATCGTGCCCCCCCGCAATCCCTCGCTCCTCTCCTCTACCAGTCCAGCCCCACATCAACCCCTCGCCCAGTCCGTCGCTCCTCTCCAGCTCCAGTCCTTCCCTAGACTCTCGGTGTGACAGATACATATGGTAGTAGAACGCCACAGACCCTCCCTGCCCAACTCCTCCCCTCCCTCCTCCCAGTCCCTCTCGCCACCCAACTTGCTATGCATGTCTTTTAGCGAGCTGTTGGCGCCACCATCTAATTCAGCAAATTTCGAATCATAATCTGGTCGAACGGTGTAATATTGGCTAAATCAAACCATGATAACAATTCGTATGAAAAATCAGACATAATGTCAAGAACTGAATTGTGGTTTCACTAAGGTTGGTTGTGTGAAAATAGCTAAGGAAGGAATGTTGAATTAGGTAAAGGGAGGGGTACAAGGCAAGTGTAAAGAGAAATGTTGTACCCCTAAGGGAGCAACTCACTACAGACTAAACTAACATATGCAATATAACTTTGACACACCCCCATAGCCTAAGTGAGATTAATCAAACCGACCGCAACAAGCAACAAGACAGCCGAGGCGGAAACCCAGGAGGGACCGCCAAGCGCGCGGAGCGGCCTGGGGTCATGGTGACAACAGGAGTCGGGTCACCCCCCTCAGTTGGGCCAGAGGTGTGAGAGGAGACCTCGACTGGCTCAACCAAGGGGGATGGGTCAACCTGAGACACACCTGAGGGAGCAGGACCCTCCGGGGGGAGTGGGGCTACCGGGGGGGGGTCAAAGACCAGTGCGAGAGGCGGGAGGGGCATGGGGGAACTGCGGTTGGGGTGGAGACGGTAGAAGCAGACAGACTCGTCAAAAGAGACGTTCTGGGAGGAGAGGACACGACGAGAACACGAGTGGTAAAACTGCCAGCCCGTGGCGTCGGTAGGGAAGCCAAGGAAGACGCAGCGAAGAGTGAGGGGAGAGAGCTTCCTCGCAGGGGGGGTCGCGAACAAGCGAATGGGCACCCCAGACCCAAAACGGCGACGCATCACCAACCTCGCCCGTCTACCGCAGAGTGGGAGAGGTCTCCGGCTGGGAGACACGGGGCCAGAGGTTGAATTGCTCAGCAGCGTATCGGACCGCAAACGGCCACAGGGAGCAGCCGCATGGACGATGGAGATGCGAGCAACCTCCATCACCAAGCCAATGCGGCGCTCTGCAATCCCATTCTGCTGTGGAGAGGCCGGAAGCGTGAACGTCTGGCAGATGCCCTCAGCACCACAGAAGTCCTCAAGGAGGCCGGAGGAAAACTCACCATCTCGGTCAGAGTGTAGACGCAGGACCGGGAGGTCGTGCTGAAACCGAGCACTGAGCTGGTGACGGACAGCACGGATCCAACGGATCAGGACACTGCGGACCTCCGCCTTGCTCTACAAGGGGAAGACCGTAGTGTAGCGCGTGTAGTCGTCTACAACCAGCAAGAAGTAGCGCTCTCCGCCCTGTCCAAGGACTCGGGCTGGAACTCACACGTCCATGTGGAGGGTCTGCAGAGGAGCTGTGGTCGGAGAAAACGAGGAGGAGTGAGGAGCGGCGCACTACCGCCCCTCGATGCAGGGAAGGCACGGCGGCGCAAGCGACCTCGGGAGCGGGGGCAGGGACCTGGGAAGCCCAGAGACAAGGAGACGGGAGAGCATGCCACGAAGGCGTAGCAAGGAGGGGTGGCCAAGACGGTGGTGCCAGAGGAGAGTCTGGTGCGTGAGGAGACGTCACGAGCGAGATGCAGCGACCTCAACCGACGCAGCTACCTGACCTGACCCAGCTACCAGTGCAGACTCAGTTGCCAGTGTGTACAAGCCAGACCCAGGCCTCCGAGTGAACGTGGCGAGGTGCTCACCAGTGCGCGAGTCCGTACAGATCGCCACGAGCTCGCCTCCAGGCTGGGTGACAGTGACCCACTGGTCCTGGAGGACAGAGGTAGCCTCCAAGTTCTTAGCGAACGAGGGGAGGTGGAGACCTGTGAGGAGGCCGGAACGGGGAGAACAGAAGCGCCATGCGCGACTACCGGGCCCCCGGAGGGGTCGGCCAGTGTGACGGGGACAGGGGCTGTGAGCGGTGTGACTGTGGTGCTGTCGCGGAAGAAGCAGCGAGATGCGCCTGAGTCTAGGGTAAAATTGTGCAAGGCCTCCTCAGGCTCTGCCCCTGCACTAGCTGAGTCAAACGCACCGAGACTAGTAGCCTCTACGCCACCAGGTGCCTCTACACCCCCACTACGAGTACCCCGAAACCCTCCGCCACCGGGGCTGCCCCACCGGACAGCCCACTCACGAAGCTGCTGCAGAGAGAGAGTCTCCAGCGGACGCTGCTGCTGCTGCTGTCCACCCCCAAAACCTCCGCGTCTACTAGCGGCACTACCAGCAGGAGTAGACTCACAGGTACCTCCAGTAGTAGCACCCCACCGGACAGCCCACTCACGACGCTGCTGTGGTGAAAGCGGCTTCCGCCGACGAGCACGGCTAGCTCCGCCACCGGGGCTGCCCCACCAGATTGCCCACTCGCGAAGCTGCTGCGGCGAGAGAGACTCCGGCACACTCGGCTGCCGCTGACGCAGGACAGTGATTGTGATAGTGGCCATGGTAGGCAGTGTCAATCAGCAGTAGCGGCTCAAGGGCTGAAGTAGCGACTGCAACGACGGCAGCTGGAACGGTGGGTGCAGGGGCAGCAATGGTAGGAGCAGTAGTTGTAGCAACCGTAGGAGTGCACACAGGCGGTAGCAAGGGCGGCAGCGGCAGTTGGCAGTAGCGGTAGGAAGGGGCGGCTCAGTAGGGCTGCTCGATTGGGCGGCTCGGCAGGGCGGCTCGAACGGGTGGCTCGACTGGGCGGCTCGGTTTGGCGGCACGAAGTAGCAGCAGCAGGCGCACAAGCAGGGCAGGGCAGGGCGCGAGCTGGTGGTGCAGCAATGCAGCATGGGCAGGGCAGAGGTGTGAGCGGGCGGCGCAGGGCAATGCGCGGGCGGCTCAGGCAGGGCGCACGTAGGCGGCGCGAGCAATGCAACGCGCAGGCAGCGGGCGGTGGGCCGGCAGCTGCAGCTTGGCAGGGCAGCGCTGGCGGCGGCCAGGCAGGGCAGGGCAGCGCTGAGCAGCGCGTGCAGGCAGGGCAGCAGTGGCAGCGGCCGGCAGCTGCAGTGGCAGCGGTCGGCAGCAGCAGTGGCAGCGGCCAGGCAGGTTAGCTCGCCTCGCGTCACACCCCCTGCCCCCCAAACCCTATGCACTGAATTCCACCCTTGCAGCACATTGCGTTGCAGCACATATCAACATAGCACACCTGCATGCAGCAAACCACACCCCTCCCTGAAGCACAGCCCCCATTTCAGCACAGCCCCCCTTGCAGAAGTCTCTCTTGCACCACATCCCAGATGCAGTGACACGTCTCAACAAGTTTCGTTATAAACTACTACATCACATCAATATAATGCCATGATAAATCACAAACATTCTGACAATAGCATTCTAACATTAAACTATGCTTGTCCTTTCCGACCCTTATAAGGTGTATTGCGCTGCTCTGTGGGCAACTCAGTGTTGTCCTGATACTGTATCAAGAATGCAATTCACCAACAAATGTGGTTGTGCCTCCCTGTCTATCCTCTTGTGGCTGTCATTTGCTCATCAACTCGGACTTATTGCCCATAACCAGTTCATAGGCTCACTCGACTCCCTTGTCTCGATGCCTTTACTATACAAAACGTAAGACCTATTCTTCAGCCTCTACCCCTCATTCATCTGCTTTTATCTGTCCAAGTTTGGGTAACAAACAATTATTTTCATTGGGCTGATTTTGTTTTCTAGCTCTCATGAGATCTTCAGCTCGCCACCACCAATCCTTCTGTTAGTACTGATGTCAAATATATTATGTGAGGTAGGATGCATGCTATGCCAGGTATGCAGACAGGAAGGTTTTTTGTATGCCAGGTTTTACTGGCGGATGAGAGAACGGGTCGCTACACTGGTATCTCGAGTTGAGCGCACTGTTCCCAGCTGGTATTTCCGTATGCAAATCCCAAAGCAAATGTTCTCCATCAACCTGCCTGCTGTCATGCTCTTGTGGAGATTTTGAGAGATTTGAAACGTGATACTGGGTCATATAGCTATCTGACCACCGACATGGTTGTTCCTCTTCCTAGTAATTGACCCATTTCTTCTTTCCAGTCACCAACTCATTGATGCCTCTCTAACGCCCTTAGGAACTTTGGTGGTAACCAGTTCAGTGGCTCCATCCCTGATGTATTCGGATCTCTTGAATTCATCAAAGAACTGTACGCATTTCTTTAGCATTGATATGATTGCTGGGACCTACCTCTCTCCCTCCATTCCACCATTTTTTCCTTCTCTTCCTTTGCTGCCGGCCATCTTCGACTGATCCCTCTTTCCTTCTATCCCTTTATATTCGAACTACGCATCCTCTTCTCTCTCTATTCCACACATTTATTAACATGGCTCTAGTGTGCATGAAGGCCCAAACAATCTTTTTCAATACTGGCATGAGATGGGATGAATCATAGGATGTCTACCAGGTAGCTGTATTTGATGGAATGAAATGTTTATTTGCAACCCTGGACTCCATTTCCTTGAACGTGTATATCAAGGGTATTTCTACACGGGTTACAGCAATACAAGTAGGTCACAGGTAGGATCAGCTAGGGTGTCATGAGTCTGTGCAAATATTGCACACCAGATGTATCCCGTGTGAAGTAGCAAGCATCCATATCTGAGTAAGAGCAATATTTGTGTCCTTCTTTTTCCTCATCACCTGGGTTCAGTGTTTTCTCTATCCCTTTTTTCTGTTTGTCGACTTTTGTTTTCACATTTCTCATGTCATAGTCCAGTAATGCACCACGTAATAGGTTTCATTGTTTCAATACGTGGGTGCATATTTTTGAACACCTGTAGTGATTCTCGTTTCAAAACTCTTGTTTAAGAAATCGGCGGTAACCCATTTGGCATACAAATTCTCCACGTAATTTCCTCATTGGCTGTGCAGTTCACCGGTGCTTGGCCGTATCAGTAGTCTGAGCTATTGCCACTTGCATGTTTATCCATCCCATGGACCTCTCATTCAACCAGCTCTGGAACA